TGTGTGTGTGTGTGTGTGTGTGTGTGTGTGTGTGCATGCGTGCTTGTGTGTGTGTGTGCGTGTGTGAGTGAGTATGTAAAGCAAAGACCAAGTGAACAGCATGGTACGATATGGTATGCTGTTGGTTGTTTCTTCAACCTCTCATTTCCACACTGGGAGTTAAGTGGTTAAAACGGCAGGACTTCGAAGTCCACCCCCGATAGGATCGGCCCGAGTAGCTTAGAAACCTTGAAGGTGTGGCCAATGATCACATTTGCAAAATCTTGAATAAATCCTCCAAATTCTCTAAATGAATGCAGAGTGTCCCTACACGAGTGTCCGGGAATTAAGGGTTTTTTTGTGGGGAGGGGGGAGTTGTTTTTTTCTCTTGGGGTGTGTGTTTTCGTGTTTTTTTCTGTTGTTGTTGTTGTTGTTGTTGTTGTTGTTATTTGTTGTTTCTTGTGGGGGGGGGGGGGGGGGTGTGATGTATATTTTTGTATTTTTTCTTTTTGTTCTATTTGTTTCATTTAGGTTTCTTTTATTATTTTTTTTAATCTATTATTTTTTTCGGGGGAGGGGTGCCAGTGCAATAGTAAACATCTTTTACGTATTACACAAGTACAGATTATTACTTTGCATTCTTCTGCTTTTTATTTATATCTCTTTCGGCGGTGGGGCTAGGGGGGAGGTATCTTCATTTCAGTATTCAGTACCATGTTTGAAACAACTATTGCGCACAGCACTTGAACACATTTTTTTTTAATAATTCATTTTTGTGTGTAAATCTCAGTATAATGTAACAAATTTTGGCATCTAGAACACACAGAAATCTACACCACGGTTTTTAAAAAAAAGGGGATACCCCCAAAAATATCTGACCCCAGATGAAAATAAGACTTACGTCTTTTTCCAGCAAGATAAAACCGTGAACACTTTCACATTAGACACCGGCTCCAAACCTTGCACGTTGAGTGGAATACACGAGTGTCTACACGGAAGAATTTCGAAAGATGAAATCAAACAGCTGGCGGCATTCTGCTCGGTATAATACGTGTACGTAAATTAAGCAACCACCAATCAACCTATGTGCTTCTGCGCCATTGTCTCTAGTTCC